TGTGGAAATGTTAGCAAACGTAGCTTTACAACAATAGGTCATAGGATATAACATAGGTACCTATTGTAAAGCTACGACCCTATTATAACTTATGAGTTTATAACACGATAAATCTTGACTATTTATCTTGTAAAACCCGTGGACATCTATAGGAAAATAATCTAATAACACGCAGTTTACAAGTTTACTTGATCATTGATGATGATAAGTTTAAAACTTCAGCGGACTTTTCGGACGTGCGCCTCTGGAAGTTGACTGTTTGTTATTATTTATTGTGAAAACTTGTTTTCTAAAAGCCTGCAACTGTTTATGAGTTAATAATAATGGCACATACTACACGAGGAACAAGCTTTTTTTTAATTCAGTATCTATTGTATAATATACTATAGTACTATAATACGTATATGGAAATATACRATTATTTATCAATGGGATACCTACTAACGAGATAAAACAAAAAACCGTAACATACAAAATGCCAAGTTCTCTACAAAGACTTGCGTGTTTCATTTCAGATATTAAATTAAATTTAGCACTATATAGGTACCTAAGTACCTAACTTATAATATAGTTATACTATTTATAGTGAATGAGTAGCGTTTGAGTACCTAAGTTTTGTGTTTTATATTTTATTGTAACTTGTCAGTATACTAACAGGAACCTACATCTTTATACTTGGGCTACTTACTTACGTAATAATAATTTGCATAATCTATGTGTAAAATTCAATTTTATAAAACGATTTCAAATATAGGCATTTTATTAATTTTATTTAATGAACAAAAATGTGAATGTTTATACATAAGTATTATAATATGATATTATGTTAACTAATTAGAAATTAGTTTTAGGTTGCAATATTTCGAGTTCAGTCTTTTTCTATGATCTACATAAAAAATCTATTTGAAAATTAGTATTTGATATTAAATACAAATATTTTGAGAATGTATTTAAAGTACATACTTTTTAATTAGGTACTTTTGAATGCTATTTACAACATATATTTTGAGTAATAAATATTGAATATTATTAATTAAGTATTTAACAATATTATCAATAAGGTATATCGTATGTAAAATATAATATAGATATGTTTGTTAGACGAGGCAACT